TCAGCTTGGAGATAAAACGCAACCAGTTTTCAAACGAGTACAGAAAATTTACAATGATATGCAAATTATCGCAAGGCAAAACTGTGGAAAACTAAATGCAAAAAGTAAAACAGTCTACAAAGCAACAAAACTAAATCAGAAAAAAACACAGCGACTTCGAGTTAGTTTTATCACAAATTGAACAATGTTGTTTTACTTAACTTGCCTTTTTTTTGCTTCAGTTTTATTTTTTGCTTCAGTTTTACTTCGACATTGCTGGTGATAGTGGTGCGGCGGACGGTTTTTACACGCAAATCAAGATATTCCCCAACGAGATCTCTGTAGCAGACCATCTTGAAATGGAAACTGCTTGGTGTTTTAATTCTTAGAGCGTTTATCGATAGAGTGTCGAAAAACTAAAACCATAGCAATCCCAACAGCCAATCGCAGCGAGGAAAATATCACAAGGACCCAATGAGAACTCGAAGAAGAAACAAGCAAACTGCTTGAAGCGCGGGAAATCGCGGTTGACCAAGACGCGATTGGTTTTAGTCTTGAATCTGATTGGTTGAGAAAGTAGCGCGAATTTTCTAGACCAAACATATCAAGAGGAAAAGCAAAAACGGGTCAATTCTGGATTGCTTTCGACACTCAATTGGAAATTGCTGTAAGTGAGAGACAGATGTTTTCTATCCTGTGGTCGAGGCAGCGCTAAACGTCTCTCTGTATATTCAGACTGTTAACATGCACCTCAAGGCGTCGTTTAAACTCACGGCCAGACTTGCCAACCAGCCAATCGGCGATGAAGAAGGACGACACACAGAAAGCTTTATGTTTAGGTAAGCTTTTGAAAACTTAATGTAGGCTACTGATGTTCTGACAATCATTTAGCTTAGTGAAATATTCATGATCAAAATTTTTTTCCAGGTTCTAGTAGCCCTAAGCTTCAGGATTTCCGCTTGGCCCAAAAGAGTATATAATTTACAGGCTCTTTCTTCCATCGCAACACTTCCTCCTTTCCATACCCCACCCTCCTTGTGTGCCCAGATATTTTTTGAGGTCTCATTTTCCCCATAATTCCTTTTCCCTGGGGGTAGTTTGGCGTATCACTGGCCTCTTTGGAAAATCTAAGTAGGAAGAATTTGTTTTAAAAAGTTTATTTACATTGTGTAAGACCCAACAAGGTTAGCAATAACAGTTTGAAGCGCAGTCGATCGAAAAACATAATGATCCTCATTGGAAGTGACAACATTAGAAGTTTCTAAGTTCATAGGTTCAACGAGGCCAAAATGTGACTTCTCCTTTTAATCAGGATTTTTTTCATATTTTGTAAAAAACATTTTTTGTAAATGTAAATCAAAGCTTCATAGAGAAATATGAAAGCGTCACAACATTATCATTCTCCTTTTTCTTTTAAGGAACGTTTCAAATTGTCGCTGAGGATTTGTTCAACATGCAAACGAGAAAACCTGACGCATCCTACATAGAGAGGGATGATTAAAAAATATAGCAACTAATTGCTATTCAACCAATAACTAAGTGGTAACTAATAATCATATTGATAATAATAGTACTGATAACAATAATGATNAAAAGAGTTTCTAGCAATCTGATTGGTCAAGCGGTTCCTTATATGAAGCTATATAAACCGCTCCACGTGGTTTATATAAAATGGAAAGATGTTGATTGCTTTATCGTTTCATAATTTCAAAAATAGGCAGTCACGACTGCATATGGCTGCCGCGTCTCACATATTTATCAGTCTGGCTTTTTCCACAAGAGAAAGATGTTTGAATACAGTGACTCGGAATATCGGGTAAAACTCGGCAGACTTCGTTGTGGGCTAGGACGTCATTCGTATTCTAGTATTATATTTACTCAACAGGACAACATTATGGCTTCGCTTCCATAGGAGGTAGTTGCCATGAAAACTGAAGGGTATCTGTAATTAAAACAAAATATTCATTTCTGGGACGATATCTCAGCCGCGAACATTATCAGCCGACATACCAACTGCCTGAAGTGGTCTATTTACCAAATAATGCACAAATTATAAAATTATATTGATTGATTAATTTGCCTTGGATTTGAACCACATGCGACGGCACTCGATTGGTTTTCATGAATTTTAGATAGAATCAATAAGTTGCGCCGCTCACCACGAATTCCAGGGTTTTGTGCTTCAGTGCCACTGGCTGTTGCATTGTTACGATTAGTCAACATCTCACAATAACTTCGAAAAAATCCCTCCTGTAGCTCTGGGTCCTCAGTTATCTTTGGAATAGCCTTTTTCTTTTGATTGTAATAACAATTCGTCGTTTCGCCAAGCACTTCACCATCCGCTCGTTGTAAAAGTACGTTGACCTCTCCCGGCGTATTGGAAGCTATAATTATAAGGCAAGAAAAAAATAGTGACCATCTTTATCAAAATAGCGGATGATACATACCTCTCTTAGACCCAAAAAGAGCATAAAAAGTATTAAAAGAGTGAATATCTCATACTTTAATCTTTTGCAAGTCTTTTTTGACATGCATATACGCATTAAATTAGGATTAACTATTGACTTAAACTTAATTATTAAAGTCTACAAATAATTAGATCTCTCGGGAATATCCACGTTTTTACAATAAAATACACGAAAATTATACATTTGTGAGGTATTGGCAGTTGTTTTCTTTAAATTAGACATCTATATTAAGTGTTGATGTACACAGACTCCTAAAATTTCGTTGTCTCTACTAGTTCTACAACATGGTTATCTACAATTAGTGAGTTTCATTCAGACCTAAAGATTATAGCTTATAGCCAAGCAGACTTATTTAGAAGAATATGTTGGTCCTATGCTAGCCATGACGATCAAACTACACGATTTAATCAAATATTTCCCCCGAGTTCAAACCATTTATCGTATAAGCAATAAGAATCAACGTACGTGGAATATTCTCTCGATTAAGCCAGTCATCGCAACACCTCTCAACATTAACAGTGATTGGATGCTCGAATTGGAAGATAGCCAATGAAAACTGCAAATTCCTCGGAAACGCTCGATTAGATTTAAAACGACACATGGCAGCACCCTGGAAAACAAAAATGTGTGGCATTACGAACACTATAACAAAATCTTCAGGATCATCACCATATCATGTGCAACTTGGTATAATGATCCATTCAGATAAAACCCGAATTCCTTTAACAGTTTATTGAGTATTAAGTTATTAAATCTAATCGTTTCTTTATTCATCAATATATTTATAAGATTTCGTAATAGAATACCCTCAATATGGTTCAT